GTGAGTGAGTGAGTGAGTGCGTGCGTGCGTGCGTGCGTGCGTGCGTGCGTGCGTGCGTGCGTGCGTGCGTGCGTGAGTGAGTGAGTGAGTGAGTGAGTGAGTGAGTGAGTGAGTGAGTGTGCGTGTGTGTTCTCTGGTTCTGTTGCATCAGAAAACACTCGCACAACATGCCCCAGAACACGCCCGACGCTTATGGACAAGCAGTCGGTGGCGAACATTCCTGATCTGGCGAACTGCACATAACCGGACACTCATGCGAACACCCACCTGGCAACTACCGCCACCTCTGCGATCTTTGGGTTTCCCATCATGATGCTTTCCACCTCCGGTCTAGGGCTAGCAGGGCGGGCTCAGTGTTTCTCGACCTTCCTCTGGTCCTTGGTTTTGCATGGCTTGTTGTGACTGACGGACGACTGCGAATCTAGGGGAAAGGGTTTGGGATCAGCGATCCCGCATCCAGTGTGAGACTCAGACTTGACGGTTAGGTGCCGGCCAGTCATCGGCATGTAACCTGATGCCCTCAACCGAACTTATAGGTACCTGTGAGAGGCGAGAGGTTCCTGTTTCTCTCTCGACTCTTGCCAAGACAACCTTGAAGGGAACTCCGAAACACCGCCTTTGTTGTTTGTTTCTGTAGGCCATGTAGATGAAACTCGTGTTCCTCGAATTGGAGGAGCACCGTGTTGAAACAAGCACAACCGGATACACATCTACATGGCGACCCAGGAAACTTTCAGACACCCCCTAAACCTTCAACCCTTCAATCCTGAACCGCAGACACGAGAAGCCTTGCACCGTAACCCTTCGCCGCTTAAAAACCACGTGTAACGTTTTAGTTTCGGTCGTTGGATTGATGGGCGACCTCCAGGGACGAAATGTTCTCGCCGCCTGAGATGATGATGTCCTGATTCACCCTGAAGCGAAGCCTGAAAACCTTGACACTCTAAGACCCTGGGACACTGGTTTTACAGGAGGGCCTCGGGCCATAACAACTGCCCCAACACCTTCCACTGCTGCCGTACATAACAGGGACATGTGACGGAGAAGGTCGGGTACACCCCGCGTGTGGATTCCAACTACAATCTATTGACCGTTTCAAGTCGACCCAAGGATGCCGCAACAAGCTCTTACACCCCTGCACCCCTGCACCCCTGTAGCCCTGTCTGCATGCCCGAACCCTGCAATCTGATAGTCGGCACTTGTGGCTGCAATCATTCTCCGGAAGCATGCAAACGCTTGGAAAACTCCACAAGGACCTTGCAAACCTCTATTCAACCTCCTCATCTGCAACATGAGCAAGCCATGCAAGCCCCTGCGAACACGCATAACAACTGCAGAATCGAGGTCCTTGGACCTATCCTTCAGCTGGATGTAGCCGTCAGGGTAGACGACGCCTAGGTCGCCGGTGTTGAAGACCTCGCTGCAGTCTCTGGAGCAGGGACAGGGAGGGGGATACGGTACCCGAACCCCAGACCAGGCCCTAAATCCGAGCATCCTATCAGAATCCTATCCCCATCTGAGGTGGCGGCACCTCCCTTGAATTCCTTGGCGGTGGCCTCCGGGTTCTTGAAGTATCCTCTCTGCTTAGGCCGGTGTCGCTGCTGTGCTTCTCATCATGATTGATGTCACTGTGGTTCGTTGGACGTGACCGGATTTTCAACTTAGGGTTCCGAGCTCATGCGCAGAAACTGACATGTGAGGTGAGGGCGCGATGGACAGGATGAAGCTCAAAGCCACACAAAGCTTCCACTCACAAAACCCGGGATAGCCGCAACCCCCACAGCCAACTGCACAAGAAAACAACTTGACAAAAGCCCTGCATCTGAATCCGGAAGTCCTTTCATGATGGTATTGCCACTCATGACGATCTCGCCGATCCTGGGCTTGTCATGTGTGCAGTGGAGCTTTAAGGACGAGAGCAGGGCATTCGGCGCTTCCGGTAGCCGGCAAGGATCGTCTGCCCATCTCTGGGAACAGATTTCCGAGTCTCCGGGTCGATCACATCCAGATACTCCAGCCTTGCGCAGGCGAAATGTCTGGCTCGCTGCTTGTTGAATTACATGCTCTTTTCGCGATAGTTCCCATCATTGCTATCGATATAGTTCTTGCCAGGCCCTGGAACTATTCGCGCCTCCTCATGTCGCTGGTTGAAGCACCACCCGCTTCAAACGAGAAGGGATGCGTGGTGCCCTGCTGACGATGAGTATGGGAAACCCAGGTCGCAATCATTAACCAAAAGCCCTAGACCCCAAAATATCCCAAAATCCTGAACCCCAAAACCGCAAACCCACGTATCCCGAACCTGAACTGGGAACCCCAAGCTCAAGCCTTTTCCGGGCCCTGCGCCGAGGTGCTCCAGGCAGCGCACTCCCTGCCGCGCCAGAAAGCCAGCCTCTTGGGCTTGCGATATCATAGAGCTTCGAATCAACAGTCATAATGTGCCCCGTATTGTCCCGTTATTATACTTTTATATGCTACAATATACCCCCAACCCTTGCTCTAATCATTGAGGCCAGGTTTATGGCTTCGTAAGGCTTTTGAAAGCAGACCCGATGGTCCTGCTTCATTTAAAGACAGTTTAAAGACACGTCCAGGCTCTAGGTTTTCAATTTTCAGCGGAAATACTTCGGTGGCAATCCTTGTACAAGTATCGTTCAGCTTCCGGATTCTCTTGGTGGATCGGGGAACACTCAGTACACAGGTTACAGGCGAGCCTTGAATATGCACAGGTCTCTGTGTGTGTGTGTCTGTATGTATGTATGTATGTATGTATGTATGTATGTATCTATGTATATATATACATGTACATATACATATGCATATACATGTACATTTCCACATACATATACGCATACATACATACATACATACATACATACATACATACATACATACATACATACATGCATGCATGCATACATACATACATACACACACATCTGTGACATTATGTATGGATGTATGTCTATTTGTGTGTCTGTCTGTACGTCTGTATGTATGTACATATCTCGTATGTGCTCCTGGCCTTGGGTGTCGTACATCTTTTCTGGAACACGGATTTCGGACTTAGGTCTTCAGGCTTTAGAGGTCAATTCCATGACTTGTCGAACGGAAACGAATGATCACAAAAAGGCGACCTGTATTTCTGTATTCGGGACCTGTCAGTGCTAGAGCTCCAAGTGATTGGTCCGACTGGCGTTTTGACCGTCTGGCTCGGGATTTATGCTTCAAGTGGGGTGTTGGGGAGTTGGGTTTGGCACCGAAAGCCTGGCACACCTTTCCTTGTTATCGGCCAGGCCAGCACGGAGCTCCCGCGCTGGTCGCAACCCTCAACAGGCTTAGGGCCGCCGATGAAGGGCGGTTGAGGCCGAGGTTCAACTAAAGCCTACTTGGCCTGCTTCCTTCAATGATACTGCGTTTAGGGCTTAGGGCCAGCTGCCATCCCCGAAGAGCTTAGACTTGAGGGTGTACGGGGCTTCAAGGGTGACGGACTCAGCCCTAAGATACGCCCAATGTTGAGGCTGCAGGCAATCATTGCGTCTGCTTACATCACCAAAACGTCAACTCCCCACATCCCAGGCCCTCAACACTGGAACCCAAGCCGAAAAGTCTTAGGCAAGCTGAAGCCCGAAAAGGTCTCAACAGGCTCGCAGGCCTTCTCTTCCATGGACTTGGAGTTCCACTCCTCCTTCCACTCACACATCACACCTTGGGACTTTGAGTGCTCATGTGTTCAGATGTGGCCTGAGGGGTTTGATGTTTTAGATGTTTTAGCCTCAGGGCTGTGCACTCAAGATTGTCCTCTTCGTGCCTTCTTGCTGCAAAACCTGCTTACTTTCTACATTTCACAGTACCATGCTATCAGTCACTGCAACCTGGCCAAACCCTGAAGGCCCGAACCTACAGCATCAGATGCACTAATAAAACCGTCGCCGCCGCCACCACCACCACCACCACCACCCCAAGCACCAAACCCACAACGAGGACGATGTTGCTGCTGCTACGCTGGTAATGCTGCTACTACGGCTACTACTAGTGCTACTATGTTGCTATGAATTACGGATACGACTGCTGCTGCCACCACCACCAACACCACCAAAACCACCAACAGTAAATCAAAGTACGACTACTACAACGGCGACTACTGCTACGCGCACTACCACTACTTGGTACAAATGCTGACAATTTCTACACAAACCTTACTGGGAGTGTAGGGACCTGTCAGGGGTGTCGGGGCACCCCGCCTGTTCCGTAGCCCTCTGTGAGCCCATAGACATGGCCTCGGTGCAGATTCGAGGCTATGATTGGGGTGGGGTTTCTGCGAGGGAAAGGGGTGCAGGGAGAAGACCCGGATCCCACAGGGTCAGTTGGGCCGAGGGCTGCGACGCTGAGGACTCGCCTGAAACCAGGATGTCGGTGAGGTCGGTGCTTGCAGGCTTAACCAGGTAGCATCAACATGAAAGCCCTTGTTGAGTCTCGGGCTCGGCGAAACACATGGTTCTTGAAGGCACATCAGGGATATCAAAACTGGAGCAAGGGCCTGGGGTTTCGTTGTGTCCTATTTGTGGCCCCACACTCGTGGATCTTGCAAGGCAAAGACCGGATTGACATTCGCAATCCGTCCACGTAAAGCCTCAGGCAGCCACACGCTGGCAACCCTGAAACCCCAAAGCCCAGCAGAATCTCAAGCTCCACATTCGGCGCTTGATCCTCGCAAGCCCCAAACCCTTTTAAACCCTGCCTGACAATGAACAACAGCGCTGCATGCTTTAGTAGGAGCCTCCCAAGAGGCAAGGGTAAGCCACGACAACCCTTTTGTTACATACCCAAAAAAATCACATGGAACCCTGCCCTAACCGCCCTAACCCCTAAACTGCCGCAAACCCTCGAAAAACACCTGGAAAAATCGGATGTCCAGCCGCTGACTTCGATCCCGTAGTCCGCCATGCGGGCAAGGACTGGCGCTGGTGGGGCCGCAGCACCTAGGTTTGGTAGAGGCTAAAAGAGCATACTTTCCCGACGCTTCCCTGCAGACGAAGCCATGCAAGCACCTGGAGGTGGTCTTTTAAGGCTAGAACAACAAACAGAAACTACTTGTACCATAGACCTGACCCCGAATTCTTGGACTTGCATCCTAACATGCCAGGGTCCTGTACACCAGCCCCCTACACGCCGTAATCCCGAACCAGGCAAGACCTTCCAGGGCCGAGTCACTCGTCATAAACTTCAGCTCATGACTCCACGTGCGAGCTCCACTGTACTGTAGCCTTGGCCCAGAAGTTGACTGCTAGGTCTTCTCGCCCTCTGAAGCCCAACCGCATCTAATTACTCTCCGAACTTTGCAGGGTGATCTACCCGAAAAAACCCCTGGGTAGTGACTTGGTCCGTGGTTTCACCCACGAGCATGAGGTCTGATAAACTTTGGGTTCCCAAAGCCTATCCAGCGATGTGCGCTGCTATAGGGGAAGGCTCGTGCAATTTCGCCTGGTGTCCTGATGGATGCAATTGTCGACAGGAGCAAACAGGGTTCTGAGAAGAAAAGCCGAGGCGCATCGTGCTCATGACAATGGGAGCACCACAAATGTGCGTGACCTTGTGCTCCTTTCTCAGGGATATTTTGGTCCGGATCGCATATTAAAGACTCGCATGTCTGTATAGTTATGCATTTGTGTACTTACGTACGTATGAGCATAAGCACAGACGTGCGCGTCAGTGTGTCCGTCCGTCTGTCCGCCCGCCTGTCTGTCTGTCTCTCTGTCTCTTTCTGTCTTTCTCCCTCTCTGTGTGTCTCTCTCTCTCTCTCTCGCTGTCTCTCTCTGTCTCTCTCGCCCTGTCAAAGGTCTCCGTCTCCGTATCCGGCTATGTCTCTGTATGTATGTATATATGTATATATGTATGTATGTGCATATCTATGCATCAGGCTGTGTATGTGCATAGTTATTGTGTGTAAATTCTATACAGATATCCACACTTCTGTAAAACAAGCTTACAAAGCAGCATCTACAACTCCATCTATTTAACGGTCATTCATGCGCCTATCTGTCTATCCATCCATCCAACCATCCATCCCACTGTCTGGCTGTCTGCCTGTCCATCTATGTATTTGTCTTTCTATCTGTCCGTCTGGCTACTAGTATCTTTCTGTCTATCCATCCATCGATCTATGCCGATCTATGCACCTATCTATTTCCCTACCTATCTCTGCGATATCTACCTATCTATCTGCTACCTACCTACATACCTAGCTATGCCTATACATACATACATCCATGCATCCATCCATGCAT